GGTCGCGCTACGACCGGCCCATGGCCGCGCTCTGCGTGCCCATGACCTGCGTCTGCGCCTTCCGGAGCCTCTTCTGCGAGGACTACGCGACGCGCGACGTCTGGTACGACAGCCCCTTGAACTCCATCCTGCTCCACCGGCTCCTCTCCGTCTGCTCGGAGCTGTCCTGGATCGGCCAGGTCGCGCTCGCCTTCGGCGCCGTCGGCGGCGACCTGCCCTCCGGCGGCGCGTGGTTCAAGCGCGCGGCGGGCTTCCTCTGGGCCTGCATCGTCGTCGCGGAATGCTGCTCGTGCGCGGGCACGGTGACGACGGACCGCCTCTTCTTCCTGGGGGAGGAGGGCTCCTGGGTCGTCGGCTTCACGGTGTTCCTCCCCTTCGCCCTGGCGCTGGCCCGGCGGATCCCCGGCGACGACGACTCCTGGAAAGCGGCGCGGCGCTTCGCGCGCGTCCTCGCGGTCTGCGTCTGCTGCTACGTGCCCTGGGGCTGGCTCAGCGACGTGCCGTCGAACTACGAGGCCTGGCGCAAGGACCAGGCCGCGGGGAAGCGGTACTTCGGCTTCTGGGACGGCCTCGAGGACGCCGCCACGACGCGCCGCGAGACGCGCGCGTGGGACGCGTGGGGCCACAAGCTCCTCTGGATGACCGCCTACTTCACCCTCGGCGTCTGGAGCTCCATCGCCCTCGTCTCCGCGCCGCGCAAGCGCTCCGACAAGCGCATCCCCCTCCTCGCGCGCGAGTTGTCCGTGTCGATCTGCTAAGGAGCGTGTTTTTTGCCACTGGCACTGCGTAAATCAGGGCTGGTGCGTGCGAAGGGAGAGCGGAGGCATGGAGAGCCGCGGCGATTTATCGAGACTGGAGGCTTTGCCCGAGGCGATCATAGCACTCGTGAAACATAACATAATCGGCTACAAGGGCTGGTTTGCGCTCGCGACGATAAACACTCGCTTTGAGAATCTCATGTACGACCCGTCCCGACTGCTCGTGGAAGCCGCGGCACACGTCGGCGGGAAGTTCGGGGTCCCTGAGAACGAGAAAGCAGGCATGCACTTCTATGAACTCGCGGCGGCCCACGGCAACGTCGAGGCGATGGTCATAACTTATGCCATAAGGCCCCGCGCTAAACATCACGGCCCCTAGTAGACCTAACCCAATAGCGACGAGGCGAAGATGGAATCTAACACGCCCAGCCCCCCCTAGTGCCCCTTGCTCATGGCGATGTGGCGCTGGGACGCGCGGCGGCCGCCCGCGGCCTTGGACGGCGACGAGCCCGCGCTCTTCTTCGCGCTCTTGGAGCTGGGGTTGCGGACCATGACCGAGGCGCGTGGCCTCCGGGCCTCGGGCCGCTCGCGCATGTCCTGGACCAGGAGGACCTTGGCGTACTCGCGGATCTTCTCCTGCTTCGCCGCGATCGTCGCGCTGTGCGCGTAGAACTCGTCCCACTCGATCATGCCGCTGTGGTCCTCGTCGATCAAGTCCGCGACCTCGTTGCCCGCGTTCATCATGAGCACCTGGAGCGCGTCGCGGCTACTCTGGGAGAAGCAGCAGTGCGCCTCGCTTTCCATGTTCTCGAGCGCGACGCCGATCTCCTTCGCCTGGGCAGGAAAAGAGTGATTCAAGTTCGCTTCAACGTGAGTGTTCCGCGCGCGCGCGTTCCGGAAAAAAGCATCCACGCTTCGAGACCGTTCCGAGAGATGATCGCTCGTCCAAAAATCAGCCGAAACGAGTGGAAAACGACCGAGATAGGAGCCTTTGAAGTTGGGAATTTCGCACTCTTTTCCTGCCCCGTCCTTCGCGAAGATCTCCTTGATCTCCTTCGCGGAAATTTCCGAAGACCCGTCGGCGTCCATCTTCGCGAACATGTCCTTGGCGGCCTTGCTAAACTTCATGGCGCCCGTCGCCGGGTCGTAGCCGCTGTTGTAGCAGAGCCACTCCAGACGTACCAAGACGCCGTCCTTGTTCACGTCGACGCCGCGCATGGCCTGGAGCACGACCTGCGCCGACGGCTCGGGCGTGTTGTCGCCGCCCGAGATCCAGATGAGCAGCTTGAGCTCGTCGGGCGACAGCTCGCCCGTGCCGTCGTCGTCGACGACGCCGAACGAGATCCACGGCAAGATCGCGTCCGCGAACTCGTCGAAGCTCACCATGCCGTCCTGCTCCACGGACCCGCCGGACTCGTCGAGGAGCTTGATGAAGGTCTGGATCTCCTCCTCGGTCGGCGGCGAGCCCGGCAGCTCCCGGACGATCTTGGCCAATTTGTCGACGTCGATCTCCGGCGGCTCGCCCTGGGCCTCCGCGACGAAGGACGCGGTCACGCGCTCGAAGGCCTCCTCGACCTTGCGCTGGTAGCCCACGACGGTGTGCGCCTCCGTGAACTCCGAGAGGTAGGCGATGATGTCCTCGCGGCCCGCGACCCACTCCCGGAGCATCGACACGGAGACCTCGCAGGACCCGTCCATGGTGATGCCGTAGGCGTCGCACATGTCGTCGGCGTTGGAGCTGATCGTCGCCGAGTTCAGCGGCGCCTTCGTGCCCGTGGCTCTCGCGAGACCCTCGACGCAGGCCTGGAAGAGGCACTCGAGCTCGACCCGATTCAGCCCGCCGGACTTGTCGAAGTCGAAGAGCGTGTGGATCTCGTCGATTTTGGTGTCCAGGCTGTGGAGCTCCTCCTGGCTCAGCAGGAAGAGCGCGCAGAAGACGTGGAAGACGTTGGCCATGGGCCCGTCCTGCGCGCCGTCCTCGTGGTGGTCCTCGGTCTCCCAGATGAGGAAGTGCTGCCCGGGATCCGCGAAGACGAGGGAGAAGACCTACGCGCGGATGATCGCTGCCTTTTCTGCTCAACTGTCGAAACGCCGCGCCGCCGCACGAGGTCGAACTCCTCCTCGTTGAGCGTGAACTTCGTCAGCAACCCGCCGCCGAAGGTGACGACGAGCTCGTCGAAGCACTCGGCGATGACGGCGTGCGTCGCGTCCTTGTACTCCTGCGTCAGCTCGCTGTGGATGAGCAGCCGGCTCGCCGACTCCTCCATCCGCTCGCCGTTCTCCCCATCCTCGAGCGAGAAGGAGGCGCCCATCGCAGAGGCGCGTTGGGTGGTGAAGTATCAGCCTCGAGCGGGAGTTGCCGCAGGCAAAGTGCGAGGTGTCCGGCGCCGGCGAGACGCGCGGCCCCTCGGCGGCCGGCGGCGCGCGGCGGCCGCGACCCACCCACCGCGCGCACGAATAGGAGAAGAAGCCGCGCGCGCGCGTGCAAACGCGGCGCCGCGCGCGACCATGCTCGACGAGCTGCTGCTCGAAGGCATCGGGCCGAGCCCCGAGGCCGTGAAGCGCTGGGAGGAGAAGCGCGCGGCGGCGAGCCGGTCCTGCAGCCCGCCGCACCCGCCGGCGCCCCTGACCGTCGAGGAGGAGCTCGCGCTCGAGCGGCAGAAGGTCGAGGCGCTCGAGGCGAAGCTCGAGGCGTCGCGCCTCGAGACCGACGCGTGGATCGCCGCGGCGTCGTCGCTCGTGAACATGCTCTTCCTGT